GGGGGACTCTCACCTCCCGAACTCCCCGAGCAGGCCTTGCTGGAAGGGGAATTCTGGGAGTTGAAGTCCACCCAAGCTGGCAGGGGAATTCTGGGAGTTGAAGTCCACACATCTTAAAGTGGCCAGGGTTGAGAAACACTGATCTGGACCAACCAAGGTGGCCTTGATAAAGAGGGGACCAGTATATCCCAGTGTCACTGGTGTGGTGTCTTGTTTAGGGGACTGGAAGAGCTCTGTGCATTGCCCAAAAACCCTGGTTTAGGAGTGGGTGTTTGGGGGGAAAGGAGGAAAGTGCAGGATCCCTTCCCCCAATTTTGGGTAATTTGCTTTCTTTTCTTAGAACCATTTTAACCCTCTTCGGGGCTTCCTGCCATAGTTGTGTGTGTGTGTGTGTGTGTGTGTGTGTGAACTGAATTGTGTGTGATTCTTTGTCAACTGAAGCAGAAGGGGATGCCCCAAAGTGGCTTTATAAAGCTCGCAGCCCCACCGCCTCTGGGGCCAGGCTGCGTGCCTCTCTTTTAACCGAAAGTCAGGGTTTGATTCTGAGAAATAGGAAAAAACCTCAGTGCTAGGCGTGTAAGCGCGACGAAGCTAATTTAGCATTTACGTACATTGCATTTACTTTCAGAAAACCCATTTGGAATCTTGCATGCTTAGGAGATATGTGAAATTAGACCTAGTATGATTTTTCCGGCATAGCAAGGAACCAGGAGCTGTTGGCCTGTGTTGCATCCTGGCGCAGGCACTCCCCAAAATGACCGTTTAACAAAGGCGTCCCATCTTACCACAGCCCTAAATCTTCAAGATTTTGCCTTCCTCCGGAGGATGTCACGATTCATGAGGCCCCTGCGAGCACCATGTTTTGCCCACCAATCTCTCAAGACCATCAAAAATCTTAACTTCTAACGATAATGTTGTTGACTTGGTCGCTTGAAAGCTTAAACTGGTGCTTTTTTTCCTGCCTTCGCGCCAAGCAAGAAGCTTCCACGCAAACGCCACCTGTTTTGTGGCAAGCCCTGCATCCATTATCGGTCGCCCGGTCTTTTTGTAGCAGCAGGACACTGTCCAGTTGGCCATCTGTTGCTCAGGACTCCCACGGTCCGGCAAAATCCCCTCAGGAGTCCAGGCATGCCCCTTGCACGCAGGGAGCCACGTGGCACAAGATTAAGAGAGGATTAAAAGTGGAGCAGGAGGAGATTTTAACAACGCAGCCCTTTTAGGATGCAATTTTTTTTCCTTTAAGCCTTGATTGCAGAGTATCCTCACGTATATATTATACAGTAGTCCTTGTTTCACGACGGCCTTGTTTAGTAACCATTTGCAGTTATGACGGTGATGAAAAAGGAACTTTGCGACCAATCCTCGAATTTTTGACCTTTGCAGGCCTGTAAAGTAGTGTTTCTCAACCTTGGCAACTTTCGGATGTATGGACTTAAACTCCCAGAATTCCCCAGCCAGCCTGGAATTCTGGGAGTTGAAGTCCACACATCTGAAAGTTGCCAAGGTTGAGAAACACTGCTGGAAAGGAAAGGAAAGCTGAAGTGAAATTGTAAGCACAGTCTTGGTTTCACTTAGTGACCGCTTTGTTTAACAACCAAATTGCCGGTCCCAATTGTGGTTGCTAAACAAGGACTACCTATATGTATTACATGACATTAGTACATACTGATATACTCACAGGGATGTTTTTTTTAAAGCATCGATTGCATTGCTTGATCAAAATATTTTGTGCACGTTGTGTTATATTTATACATACAGACATGTTCAGATAGATGGACATACACAGAAGGAGACTGCTCTTCTTTAAGCATGGATTATATTGTGAAGTTCTTGGTGGTCTCTGAGCGTGTCTGTTTGCTGGCAGACGTTTCATCACCCAACTAGGTAACATCATCAGTGCAAGTGGGTATTATTATTATTATCCCACCCTGTTGCTTGATCAAATGCTTTATGCATTATGCACACACACACAACCCCAAGTTTCCAACCAGAATAAACTCAGGAAATATACAGATAGGAGAAGAGAACCTGGGAGCTGAAGTCCACGCATCTTAAAGGGACCGAGGTTGAGAAACACTGTCCTAAAGCAATCTTTATGACTTTCTGAGTTTTCTAGCTCCCTGTGATTTGGGTGATAAATATGTGCTAGATTTTAGCTTCTGGGTGGACATTTGAGGAATCAAAATGCTCTTAGCTCCACTTGCATGTTATAAAGTGCAGAAAGAGCTTGGAATTCTTGGACACCAGTGGGCCAATCTGACCGTTTCTCACTTTTGTAGACTTGAAATTTCAAAACTTCTTTTTCTCTTACCTCAATTCATTTCATTCTAGTTTGAACTTTTCTTTCTTTTTAATTAAAAAAAAAATTGCATACAATTGCATGCATTTTGGTGCATGTTTTTCCAAGCGTAAGGGTTCTTGCTGACAATTTTGCCTAATTATGGCCCTGTGTTTTGTAGAATATAATGATTTTTTCTAAAAAAATAGTCATGAAAAATGTGCATTTGGGGGCAGATATTTCCCTAGTCTGTGTTAATTTTTGGCTTGGCAAACTGGATTGCAAAATTCAGAGCGAGGCAGATTTTGAAGAGTAAGCACATGAAGATTGTGAAGCTCACAGAGCTTTAGCATGTGACCCCATAAATCCCAATTTAGCTGCACAATACTCGGGTTCCCGTAGAGTGAGTTGGAAGTGATCCAGACCCTCCCTTGAATAGAGAAGGGCTGTCCTGCAGCTACACTTGACTTGCAGTTTGATACACAGAGGGATTTTTTGCTTCTCCGGCTCAATATATTTTTTATATATATATTTTATATATATATAAGAAAGGAAAATAGTCTTTTTTGAGCAAAACAAGAATTTTTCAAAAAGGAGGAAGAGGAAGACTGGCTGGGGAATTCTGGGAGTTGAAGTCCACAGAGCTTAAAGTGGTTAAGGCTGAGAAACACTGGAATATACAGATTATACAGAATATACATAATACAAAAAAAAAATTGAAAAAAAACCCCTAAGACAAAAAACTTGTGGCATGCTAGAAACAAGCCATGGCACGCTGGTGGAGAACCGCTGTTCTAGGGAATACCTATGAAAGGGTGCTTCCGTATTGCCATCTCAATTCCCCTCCCTCTCCTTGGTTATAAACAGCAGAAAGCGTTCCCTTCAGTTCGCAGCACCTCGTTGCCTTGGCGCAATCTTGCAAAAGCCCTTCAAGCTCGAGCGGGGTTGGGGTTTGGAGGGGAGACCACCAGGAGATCACAAGGTGGTCAGCCAGGAAAGCTCTCCGGAAGCTGACAGCGGCAAATCGGTCCTGCTTTTTGGCCGTGAAAACGCTGCATCAACACCAAGAGATCACACTTAACTTGTCGTTATGGTGGTGGTAGTTATTACTTTCCCGCTCTCGTTCCTCTTTCCTGCTCGCCCAGAAATGAATTTCGACCATGGACGGACATCAAGCCGGTGAGAGCTATTAAAGCAAAGTCCCAGTATGAGCCTCCGGATGAAAAAATCTCCCACCAGACAAGCTACACCTCTCAGTTCACTGCCGAGGGAGCCAAGCCTGGCCCGGCGGATAACAAATTCCTGGAGCGCCGAAGGATACGCAGCCTCTACAGCGAGCCGCAGAAAGAATCTCCAAAGGTAAGGAGGGGGGCGGACAAACCACCATCGGCGTTTTCCACCGGCCGCGGGAGGTCACAGCTTGCTTTCGGGCCCCACCTGCAGGTGTGGCTCCTTTGGGCATGCGGCGTCACAACGCACCTCAAAAAGGGCCAGGGTGTGCGCTGTGACGCCATGAAACGGTTTGCGTTGGCCTGACGCCCCCAGGCATGCACACACGCCCTGCCTGTGGATTTGGGAGCTGGAACCAGAGAGATCAAGGACTCGAGGCTAAGTGAGTTTTTGCCGTTTAGGAAGATGGAAATGTATTATTTGGCCAGCTTATTTTTTCACCCCCCTTCCTCAGCCCTTCTCACCTCTCCTAAACGTTCCATGGAAAGCCACATTCATATATAGGTAGACTTTGCTGACTGACGGCCTCATTCAGTGACCATTCGAAGTTACGATGGTGCTGAAAGAATAACTTTACGACCAAGGCTCGCGTTTATGACCTTTGCAGCATCCCTCAGTCATGTGATCACCATTACAGTCAGTTAGTATGTGTTGTCCTGTGCTTGACCTGTTGTTTTTCAATCCTCATCCCCACCTTGCAGAGCAGAGAGATTGGAGAGGAAGGGATTGCAAGAGAGGAAGCAGGCACACCATGGGGAATACACATCAAAAGCAATGCGCTAGCAGCCACACGTGTGCTATGCAAACACCCCAGTGTATCCATCACAGTGTGCCTGCTTCCTCTCTTGCAATCTCTTCCTCTCCAATCTCTCCGCATTGCGAGGAGGGGAGATGAAAAAACGAGTCGGGCACAGGAGAGATTGCCTACAGAAATGGCTTGCTTTCCTACCACCACCACTCCTCGCAGAGCAGAGTGATTGGAGAGGAAGGGATGATCTGTACGTGCTTTCTCCTGTGAAGCTCAACTTTCCAACTGCAGAACAGGGCCCTGATTTTCCCAGTCTGAAATTGGAAAAACTTAGTTATGCTGGAGCAACTTCAGATTTTCTCCTGTGCGTGAAAGATTTTCTAAGTTTGCTCTAAATCCATTTCAGGCTAGCCCAGTGTTCCTCAACCTCAGCAACTTGAAGATGTGCGGACTTCAAGTTGCTGAGGTTGAGAAACACTGGGCTAGACACTGGTCTGGAATCCAGTTCAAAATCCATTGCAAAGGAGCCCAATAGTGTCTTTGCAACGGAGCATTTGGGTTGCTGTGAGGAAGATTTGCTAAGCATGCCAAAGAGTGATTTGATACTCCCCCATATGGATGAAAAAACATGTTTATAATGTATTGCTCCACTGGGTGAGTTCTAAAGCAGGAGGAAATAACCAATCCATGGGCCAAATGTGACCCCCATCACCCCATTTAAACACCCCTAGCACCCTGAGATTGTGCCATTGAAATTCAGTGACAAAATAACCCGATTTGGGCTGTACAATTTCAGTTTGGGGGTTTGTAGTGGTTTTAAAGGTAGGAATTGCAGCTTGTTTTCCCATCTCCAACCTTAACCCCCCCCCCCAACAAGGGTCTAAAGGCCCCCAAATGTGGCCCATTTTTCAAAGCATGGGTGGCTTCAGTGGTGGGAAGAACAAGTTTGCTTCTGGGCAGGCTCTGATTTTCATTTCGACCCTCAAAAATGTGGAAAACCAGGCACCCAAAACACGGGTGTCTGCAGGGTTTGGTCAACAAATTCAAGATGGCGGTCAACAATGGTGCAGTTGGAACTCACCCTATTTTTATGTGCGGACGAATGGGTCATCTGGATGGCCACCTGTCAAAAGGTTGGACTACAGAAGGTTGGACTACATGACCTCTAAGGTTACTTTTAACACTATGGTTTCGTGTTAGGCTTTGTTTTAGAGGTTTTTACATGGGGCTGGAGAGGTTGGATCAGATCCAGGGTACACTGGAGTCAGTGGTCCCCTAATCCATGGTTTATCACCCAGAGAAGTGTTTCTCAACCTCAGTGACTTTAAGATGTGTGGACTTCAACTCCCAGAATTCCCTAGCCAGCCATGCTGGCTGGGGGA